ATCTACTCAGTCATTGCCAATTAAAATAATCCTACATGCTCCCTTCTATCAAAAAATACTGTTTTATATGGTTCTGTTAGTAAGGCAGTTAAAAGATAACTAGGTGCATGGATTTCATACACACCCTACTTCTGGAATCAAGCAAAAGATAGACAAATAGGGCAAACCTAGTGAAGACAATAGAATCCTGGGATAAACAGCTCTTTAGTCAGGAAAGCACTGCATTTGTTATATAACACAGTGTGGGCTCTAAAGCAAGAGACAATCCTCTGGCTTATTTATAAATATAATCTAGGAATTGTCAGTATAATTTCAACCTCTATGATATTTTAAAAGTGAAAGTGATACACTGTAAGACCTGGGTAAACCAAGGCTTCTAAAACACCATGTGGTTTTATCATGAGTTTTCATGTGGTTTTAATATTTCCTGAATAGCAGTTTAGATGTTAAAGAAAATCTTTTAAGAAAAAACTTCAAGAACTTTATACCAGAAAAATACATTTTTCATCATTTCTTTTACATTGGATTATTAAAAGTTATTATTCCTTTTTTGCTTTGTTTTTAAATCACTAGTTCTCTCTCTATTTCATCTTACATAGGTTCTCCTTTAAAATCTCTTTTTATAAATATTAATTATAGCACAAAAATAGGTTCGGATATTCCTATAAGTAAGAGACAACTGAGTAAAGAAAGTGCTTGTGCAACCTAGGTATCTTGAGCAGAATGGGAAACTGAGTATACCGAATCTCTTCTCTTGAAAGTTAAATGGTTCATAAGATACTGCTTCCTCTGTTTTCTTCTTTCCTGAGCCTATTTTCTCTAAAGAGAAAAACATTTCTAGTTTTTCATGTTTAAAATATATTAAAGAACAAAAATGTCTAATAAAAATACATTATTTTTGAAGTTATAATTTTTCAAATGGCAACATATTTCACCATTACCCAAACTAACCGTTTATGCCTATTTGTCAAGGAATCAAAGAGAACACATGAATAAAGTGTGCTGCCCAAAGACATAATCAGATTGAAGGTCTTTGAAATGTTTTGTTTTGTTTTTTGAATATAAGATTTCCCCCAATAGTCCTAAAACTGTTGCTTTATTTCAGCTACTTTCCCTTTACCCACAAGCTTACTGCTCCCTACAGCCCAATATATATTGATGAATAGCTTGCATAAATAATTAAAATTTAAACAAGGGAAGATAGCCTAATAATGTTCCAGACACAGATACAGTCAATAAGCACT